AGTGGTGCCGGCGTGGTGTGAGCTCAGCCGGGCCGAGCCGAGCGCCTCTTGCGGCGAAACGTGTAAACACCACTTGCTGCCGATACCCCTTGTAGGCCGAGCCGAGCCGAGCCGAGCCGAGCGCCTCCCGAGCTAAGCCGAGAAAGGGCCGGGCCAGCCGCGCCAGCGCCCGCTCTCCGATACACATGTCAATCAGATCCCTTTGACCCTCAGCGGTCCAGTGGTCTAGGGGTTAGCGCCCCCAACTACGAAACCAAAGTTCCAAGATCGAAACCCGACCGAGGCAGAAAAAATATTTTCCCCCTCCACCTCGTCACATTCTACAAAAACGTCGCGGCCCCCCACTCCATGCAACGGATTCGTTTTCTGGGCCCCCCACCCCTTGCGACAAAAATTTGCGACAAAGTGCAGCCCATACTACTTACATCTACCTAGGCCTGCGGCGCTGACACCCGAGTCGGGTATCGCAAATATGAACACAAAGATACGGGCCTCCGGCCCGTCAACTTCCCGTCACTTCGACTATACATGCAGGGTTGTACATTTTTTCGCTTATTTTCGTCAAAAACTCCATGTGGCGCCTAAACGGTTAATGATAGAGCCAAACAGTCGAAATTTTCGCCCAGAGGGTTCTACATTGATGAGTTACCTCTTAGAAAACATTAAAAAAATATTTTTAAAAAACGTCAATTTGCGGACCTGTGGTTTTCGATTTTTTAAAAATCCAATTTTTGAGCTAGAATGCTCTTCTTCGAACTCGATCTGTCTTTTTATGATGCAAAACGACCCTGAAAATCCCAGGTCGCTAGCTCAATTTGTTCTCGAGTTATCGTGCGCACAGACAAACACACAGACACACAGACAGACAGACGCGAAACTTTTAGATCCTCACTGGAGTAATAGGCTTCGCTATCGCTCAGCCAACAATAGAGAGAGCTTTCTGGGTGTTCTCTATCCGTGTCACTGCTTCCAATTTTGCTACGTATGTGTTGTGAGGATCAGTGAATCGCTGGATCCATCCTGCCCAAGATGCAGGAAGGAAATTTGGAAGGTGGAGTCACAGCCGTTCACAAAATCGCTGCTGGCGGATGATTGCTTCTGATTAGTTAAATGTGTATTTACTTTCTTGTATTGTGTTTTTTATTAACAGTGCATTGCTACTGTATGATGGGTTACTTTCCCATAATTTTTGTGTGTTGTAATTGCTTTTTACTCAAGATTTTGTTTTTATTGATTACTCTTATGTCAGTCGACATTGTCTTTTACGATAGATGACTACTTTACCTGTACTTGTTAATTTTTGCTTCAAAGTACTTCAAGATTGTACTTCAAAAGTATTTCTAAATATTTTTATAGAATTTTTCTTGTTATTAAACCTATACCTTACTGCATTTTGAGAACTGTTTTGTTTTAAATTTTCCTTTTCATACCAAGATTCTGAGGTTTGAATATCTTATGTTAATAGTTACCACCAATGTGTCTTATAATCTGGAGTGAATTCAGAAGGGAAAGAAACGTAATGTGGCAGGTGTCCGTGTCCAATTTCACTTGAAATGCTTCATGAAGACTGGCTGCCTCGCTTAAAATCAATCCATTTATTTATCCGAACTTAACACTCAGTTGGTCACCACTCCGCATCTTGTCCTGACACCTAAGTCTTGTGTATTCTAGATAATTGAGTTTGCACTATACAGCCAACATCCTCAAACTCAGGCATTTGAATCATGATAAAGTAACCATTATGAGCAGTACTATTCTTGTATAAATTTGGACCATACCATGTGTGTTAGTTTTTCACAAGTCTTGGTGGTAAGAAGGTGTTTAGCTATACTCAGGGAGATTAATATTAATCAAGTTGTTTACTTTAGTTTATTATTCACCATACAAGATACATCATACAGCAAGACAAAGATTTATGAGTATATACTTAAATACAAATATCTAATAAAGTAATCAAAGCCTGACTCACATTTATTTTTTTTTATTTTTTTAAGAAACTCAAAGCTAAGCAGAACACTTGCAGTAGCAATTGTGTATCCAGGTAATCTTGACTGAGCAGGGGACTTATGGCAAAAGCGGTTTAAAGGGAATCACAATCTTCAGGCAAAGTATTCAAAAGAGCTGTTTGACTTTAAAAAGAACGTCACAAGGCTGATCTTTGAATCAGAAATGTTGGCCAAACACATTTTTCATAAGGAATGAAAAACCACAGAATTTAAAGACACACAAAACTGCACTGAGGCTGGTTGGTAATATCAAAGACCACAGGCAGGTCTTCAAAATCAGAGAGAAAATAATTTAAGCAGAGACAAATTAATGCCTAAAAGCTAGCCACAAGGTCAAGATTCTGAACAAGAAAACATGCAAAATTGCTTGCCAATACAGCACTTACTACAACTTTTACAGACAACCTTTTCACAAAGTACAGATAAATATTTTCTGATGATTGATTGAAAGTAAATAGTTGACTGACATTTAAAATGGGATCTCAAACTGACAAGTCTGACACTAGGTTCTAAATTAGCATATGAAAACATAAAATTTAAAAACAGGACCATACACGCAAACAACCTGATGATCACAAAACATAAAAATGTTGCAGGTTTGACTCGAGTTAAATGAAAAGATAATTGAACACATGTAGTTGAGGAAAGCACAGCTGCAGCACTTATTAAAGGCAATTAAAACTCGCACACATTGATTAAAAAAAGGAAAGAAAGCCAGGTAGTGGTGATGGTGCAGAATAATAAACAGAATTGCAGCTTAAACACTCTCTCTCTCATGTGAATTTGATAACATCCATTCCTAGTCTTTTCCATGAACAGAGAGGCTTCTCCTAGGATATAAACATCTGCAGAAATGTAAAACATCAATGACTTACAAGACACTAGACAACAAATACTACAGTAATAGAATTTTTAAACATAAAATGAATGACAGATTGAAAGCTTGAGTACAAGAGGCATGTATACCTATCAAACATAGATTCAAAAAGGGCCTTGGTGAAAATTGGTGCAGAAACCTCAATATTACAGCAGCTTCCACACTCCTTCTTCCCTCTCTCTTCTGAATTTGATTCCATCCATCCATTCTTATTCTTGTGCATGAGAAAAGAGCTTCCTTCTTGGATAAAGATACGCATCTGCAGGAATATCAAAGACTTGCATGACACTAGACCACAACTACTGTTATGACATTTTAAGAAATAAAATAAATTATACATTAAAGACAAGGGTACAAGAGCCACATACCTGTCAGCGATGACTCAGAGATGGCCTGATGACATTGTGCGCGGTTCTCAATCAATACAACTGCAGCATCCAGACTCCCGTCTCTCATTGAAATTTGATTCATGTGCATGAATACCCAATAAGTACACGGAGTGAAACATTCTTGTTCATTGGAGAGATTGTCACCTGCGATAGGCAAAATGGAATGATAACTTCAAATAAAGTTAAGCCAGATGGAATGTAAACTGAGACTGAAAATCAAAACAGTACACATATGCTCCAGTCAATGGATCCAGTTTAACTGGGAATGATGATCAGTAATGACCACGATGACTTCGACAGCGTAGGGAATTTTAGCCTGCAACAAAGACAATCTTCCTGAGCACAGCGTCATGATCAACAAGCCATCCAAAAGCTAACCTCTATTTAAATGCAAGTAATTTCATTATCAAGTGCAGTTCCTGTCCAAGGCGACACTCTGTGACAGTCTTGGATTGACGGGTAATCAAGGGGCAGGATTTGATTGATACAGCATTTGCCAGAAGGAATCCTTACAAAGTACTTACAGAGTATAACTAAGAGGTGAAGGTTTTTGATGACAACTTGTAGTAGACATTTACCCCTTTCTTCATGATGGCTCCCTTTGAGGTAGGTAGGAAATGATGTGGGAGCCATAACCCTCATCCTGGTCAAGCTCATGTCTGTGAAGTAGTCACCGTGGATGGTGATTCACAAGTTAGCGGAGAGCTGTGGAGCAACCTTTCGACAAAGTAGAATTTCTTGTGACACTGGCATTTCCACCTAATAAAGGAAAAGACAAATTATCAAAACATGAACAAAACCAACCAAGCTTACTGAAACTCAACATAACTGTGAAGGTGTCAGATAGTAATTTAATAAAAAGCAGAAGCAACGGCATTTGGTAAAATTCCACTGCTATAGCAGTTAAATTATAAGACATATCATCTCACATGATATTTTATTTTAATTTCAATTTTAAGAAAAAAAAGGATAAATAGATTTGAGTTGCCAGACGCCACAGTTGTTTTGATCGGCTGCACCGAAGTGAACCAACTCCAGCTCCGAAAAAGGTAACACTGTGATGGGCAAGAGTAATTGAAACGCATAAAAAAAAACAGTTCAAAATGATTTTTAATAACTTTTATTATTTGATTGATCATTCTAGACCTGGTCCGTTGAGATCTGAACGAGGTTTGAATGTTTGATGACAATTATACGGTTGGCAGCAGTTGCTTATATCCCTTAGCCTGCGGCCTGCGGGCGAGTGCGCCGTGCGTGTCTGAACAGGCCGTGGGCGGGTGGGTGTGGCCTGTCTGTGTGTTTGTGTGTTTTAAAGCAAAATAATACTCCCGATTTGTCTTTTCAGTTCATTAATATCGTAAATTATTAACAATTAATCAACAATAAGTATTGTTGTTTTTTTCTAAATGAACGATTCAATGCCGCGGTGTGGCGGAAGTGGAAAGCGGTTACTCGCACTGGGACAAATGACCGTTATGAAAGGCAACAGGTAAGATTTTCTTTCCTTTTGGAGCCAATTAGCGTGTGTTCTTGAAGCTATGTCTTTAAAACAGTCTGTAAATATATTATTTTCGACTGAGCGGCTGTCATTAATGTGAAAGTAGTGAAACAATTTAAAATGCCGTTATTTTTCGGCCCAGGAGGTTATGTTTTTCTACTTTTTCCCCCTTCACTTTACAGGACTGGCTTTTATATTTTCAAAAAGTGTTCACAGTGGCTTTATAAATTTTAAGAGTTCTATTTTGATTGTATGCTGATATTTTGTTTTTCAATAGGTTATTGATGTTGTGCTAATGTGGTCTTGGAGTCTTCTCGCAGCTCTGCCAGTGAATGGTGGTTGCGAAGTAGCAGTGACTCTCTGGAACGGATTCAAGTGAAGAGGTTAGTCTACTTTTCTCTGTCTTGACTTGATTTTGATTGGTGAATTTGTAATTCCTTGCTAATCTATGAATTTCTTCACAGCCAGCCATATTGTCAGCCAAACTCAAGATGACGTCAACTGTCTGCAGCTGTTAATCGTCATTTCCTGATCCAGGCAAAAGGGAAGTAAACTTTACTTTTTATTCTTTCCGATTCAAGCTTGCCTTATGACTCTTGTGTATTGCATTTTGAGCTTATGTGATAAGTCAGAATGGCAGGGGGGAGTAATATTTTCCAGGACACACCCAAGTAAACTGCGGGGGATGAAGTGTACTTTGTTTATGTGTTGTCATTTGATATGGGTGTAATTCTAATGTTCTTTCTGTGGCTTATTGATTTAGAACGATTGCATCAACTCTGCTCGTCCTTGTCAGTTGTGTGTTGATGATTCGATTTGCAACCCCGTATTGATCTTGTACCGTTATTGCGATGTTACTTGTGTAGAAATGCTATGTTTTGCCTTTCGGTCTACGTTTATTGGAAATGAATTGGGTCTTTCGCTGTGCGTTCGCTGTTTGGCTCATCTGACATTGTTCTTTGTTTGCGTTTGGTTTTGTGTGAGGTTTCTATAATGATAGTAGTGTTTTTTGACTGCCCTTGTCTCTGATGATCCAATTTGAACCCCCTCAATAATTTTGTACCATTATTGCATTGTCTGCCTAACTGTCTGTTCTCTTGAAATTAATTGGGTCTTTTTGCTGTGTCTTATCCTGTTCATTATGTGCTGACTCTTCTGAACCTTAATTCTTGCCATTTTGTTTTTTGTTTTGTCTCTGTTCACTGACTCCAATACCGTGCCTGATACCCTTTTTTAGCCCGCTCTTTTGCTTAAAAGCTATATAAGCGGGCTTATGCCATCGCCTCTGTGTCTGTCTGTCTGTCTCTGTCCGTTTCCCAAGAAGGACGTGAGCTAGAGGTTTGAAATTTTCAGGGTATAATTGTTGTCACTTCTGGTCAACGAAACGGTTGGTGCAAATCCTGGCAACCACCCCTGAGTGGGTCTGAGGGGGTAACAAAGAAATAGGGGTTGGTCCAAGAAGTGGAAAAAAAATATTTTTTTTATGGTCTCCTAAGGGGTAACCCGTTAAAGTAGAGCCCTTTGGGCGAAAATTTCGTCCGTTTCGCTCTATCTCTCACCGTTTAGGCGCTAAAGCGAGTTTCTCTCACGAAAGTGGCCCAAAAATAAATATATAAATTTTAGAAAATATTTGATGGTCTCCTATGGGGTAACTTGTGGAAGTAGAGCCCTTCGGGCTAAAATTTTGTCCGTTTGGCTCTATCTCTCACCGTTCAAGCGCTAGAGGGAGTTTTACCCACGAAAGTGGCTTAAAAATAAATATATTAATTTTAGAAAACATTTGATGGTCTCCTAAGGGGTAACTTGTGAAAGTAGAGCCTCTTGGGCTAAAGTTTTGTCCTGTTTACTTACAAAAGGGAGTGTTTCTTACCAAACTGGCCAAAACAGAAATATTTTTACTTTTCCAGAAGTACACTTCTGTCTGAGAAGTATGCCGTCGGTTCAAAATTTTCTTCTAAGCAGAAGAGTGGGCTTATTTTATGGTGGGACATCATTAATAAAACGTGTACACTTCCATGCAAAAAAGAAAAAAAAAAAAAAAAAAAACCAAAAAAAAATTTTTTTGTTCGAACACGTTCGGAGTCAATCAGAGTATGTCTGGAAGTATATTTATAACTTCTTCTAGGGCTAGTCTTATGTATCTTTTCATTGGTGTGTTATTTGATTCATAAGCTAACATCAATAACTTAGAAGGGATTTGGCATAACTTGCATGTATTCTACAAACTACGGCACACACAGCCAAAGATGTTCAGCGTATGAAAAGAATACTTCGTTTGTTGAGTTTTGATTACGAAGTGGACAGAAAAGGTACCTGGCAAAAAGATGGTCCAACGCGAGCTGTCACTCCAACGGACCGAAGGCCCGTTTTCGGATAGAAGATGTATTACACCATGAAAAGTCAGAAGAGACGGGCCGAAGGCCCGTCCCAAACGCCGCCGGCAGGCCAAGCTGGGCCCGCTCCCTGCCGAACCGAGTTGCCGGTGGAGCGAAGCGGAGCTGGCAACTTGGTTTGGCGGAAGAGCGGGCCCAGCTTGTTAATTTCTATCTTGAAACTTTGCGCCTTGTGATTGATTGACATATTGTTGGTACTTGAATTTTGAACGGTCATGCTGGTATGATCCACTTGGTATTTTCTCTGCAAAACTCTTTTTTGATGGACTTGATAGTATTCATTGTATCTTATGTTTTAAGATGCTATGCTCTTTTTGTCCTTATTCTCTGTAACTATTTTTTTTCCAGTTTGATCAATTTTACTAATGTATTTTTATTGGCTTTGCCAAAACTTTCCATCTCTTGCCGGTTTCTTATTAACGAGTTCATACTTACTGCCTGAAGGTGTTCAGTTTTTTCTTAATTGTTTTGCTGTTGTTCTGTATACCAACTGTATGTGTGATGCTGCTCCTATGCTTATTTGTGCTTCTCTGTCTGTATTTTTTATATTTTTCCCTGGTTTGTGTGATACATTGTGGTCAGCCTTCCACCTGTGAACTGAATTTTGAGTGAAAGAGTGATGCCTTAGTGATTTAGTAACTTACTTTTTCATATTATATGTTAAAGTTATGTGTTTATCAATGTACCACTCTGCTTGTTGTCTGCCTATCTGTTTCATATATTTTTTATAAAATTTACTGCCTTGACTTTGAATCTATATGTGTAGTGCTTACTTTCTGGTACTTGTTTGTTTTTGTGCACTTGCCAACAATCATTGTGATGAAGGTGCCTCTCTATATTCTCTGTCTTTTTATGTGGCTTTCTTGTGTTTGGTCAATCTCTTATGCCCTCTTCCTTTATGCTGGAAGTATGCCGTTGTTGATCTAAAACTTTTCCTACAGCTGTTTTTGGTCTGACTGCCAATCTGCCCTGGAAAGGTAAATATTGGTCTCCAGTGTTGTTTCCTTATAAGTAAGGTGGAAACAATTTCTATGTGACATTTTGAGTGAACTTTAATTGTGAACATTCATGCTGGTGTGTTTTTTGTTTTTTTCGTGTGTGTGTGGACTGCTTGATGTTTGGATGGTAGACTATTTCTTACCCTGTTTGTGTGTGCTCATGTGCTGACGATTAATGAAATGTTTTGGGTACCCTGCCTGATTTTATGTTCTATGTTGAAACTTTGTGCCTTATAACTTAATTGACATACTGGTTGTACTTGAAATTCGAACTTGTGTTACACTTTGTTTTAATTCTCGCCTTGTCATTGTGTGATACCTAGTGCAATGCCCTTACTTCTACACTAAAGTTTGATTATGTTTGTCAATGCCTGTTTTGTTTGGTCTGCTGAAACTAAATGAGATTTATTTTGATTATCAGTATTTCTTTCCATGGACTTTTAAAATGCTAAGCTTTTTTGTCATTCTTCTCTGTAAAACTATCTTCATTTTAATCACTCTGGAATTGCCCCATTCTTTGACAAAACCTTATGTCACTTTCAGATTTCTAATTTATGCATCCTTATTTACTGTCTGATCTTCTTCTGTATTGCTGAGTAGACATCAAGACTAATGTGTCACGGTTCTATCCCAATCTAAGATTTTCTGTTCCTCAAAACGCAGTAAAGGTGAGTCTTAACATTGTCTTGATTTATTATCTAATAAATAAATTGAAATTAAGTTGTCTTTATCTGTTACAGGGAGTTGTTATTTCTTCAAGATTGCAAAGATGAATTCATTCCAGAAGTCTGCGTGAAGTTACGAGTTCCAAGTTCACACACCCTGATTTTGCAAGAGAAAAACATTGCTATTCAAGACCCTCGGTAAGTCACTTTGCACCTTACCTGAGGGGAATAGAAGTCATCTAGACAGTCTTTGCTTTTCATTTCATTCTTCTGTCCTAACAAGTTACTTCTTATTCAACAGAATATAAGTCACGGGTGAGACAGCGTGAGCCTTATCCTAGCTGTGATAAGAGAAGCTCCTTTTAATTGAATGCAGTGGGAACGCATTCAAATTTGGTTCGCCTTGGACAAATGTATTTCAACAAAGCTGGCTTTAACTGCTGATTTTTAGTAAGTTTTTGTCGGCTACATAATCCTTATCTGAAATGCAGACTTTTATCTTATATTAGTGAACACACAACATCCAGGTAAATGTTAATTTTGTTTCAATTTCTGATTACAGGTGGTGGTTACCATTTCCGCAAACCAACGTGTGATCCAAGTGTGCTTGCCTTGGTTCTATTTAAGGAATATGTATCCATATCCAAATATTGTTTACTTTTACTGGGTAAGTGGCTTTTTTAAGGAATACTCCTTCATCTAGTGATCAACTCCCTTCCTGTGACTTACATCCACCTATTTCTTGTTGTTCGACAGGATATTACCAACAACCCTAACAGAAAACGACCACCCTCCGAAGTCCCTTTTTTGAAATCCCTCAGATGTCCCTTTTCGAAGTTCCTCGGAAGTTCCTAAAGGGAGCAAAAAAGGACTTAGGGATTTCATATTCCCTGGACGTTTGAAATCCCGCAGAAGTTCCGCCAACGCTCTGAACCAATCTTTGCTCCAGGCCGTAAGAGAGCTCTGACATGTCTAAAAATACTAACAATAGGTGCCT